TTTACTCTCTCCTCCCTCCTGACACAGCCCAGGGGTGTGTGTGGGTGCCCCCGACTTATTTAAATGCCCCCCCCCAAAAAAATCAGAATTCCTGGCTACGGCCCTGACAACACCTCTCCAGAAAGCACGAGAGAATTGTTTCTACTGAATTGCTTCAATTGTTTCTGTCGATCCCATCGAAGCCACAAAAGGCAGAGGAATACAAAACGCACGCCATTCATCATCCAGCCGGAGCTGGATGACAATCGGCTCTTGCCGAAGGGCACAGAGGGTACCTAACACCTGTCAATTACGGTCCAATCCAGCATCGCTGGGAAGCTCGTCTCGACACCTCCAGGAGGACAATTCGCCTGTGGAGTCAGAAACAGCGTTCGTAATCTCTGCTCAACCCGATGGAGCCAGCTGACGGACACGAAGTTCATGCCTTGGGCCTACCTCTGGTTGGAACATCATATTGTCAGCATTGGGTGGCTCTAGGGCCCATCCAGGTGCCCTGCTTGTACTGTTTGGCAGGTGCCAGGAAGCAGGCAGGCATTACTGCCCAGTGATGACATACACTGTGTGAGAGGATGCATCAGTGATGGAGGTACATTGGGCAATGTGTGTGTTTGTGTGTGTAAAAGTGTCGTCCAGGTGTAGCTGACTCATGGCGACCCCAGCAAGGGACTTTTGAGGCAAAGGTGAAGCAGAGGTGGTTTGCCATCGCCTTCCTCTGCAGAGCCTTCCTTGGTGGTCTCCCTTCCAAGTACCGACCCTGCTTATAACTTAAGGCGACCCCAGCCAGGGGCTTTCAAGGCAAGGGAGAAGCAGAGGAGGTTTGCCATGGCCTTCCTCTGCAGAGCCTTCCTTGGTGGTCTCCCTTCCAAGTACCGACCCTGCTTAGCTTATAACTTAAGGCAACCCCCGCAAGCGGCTTTGAAGGCAAGGGAGAAGCAGAGGTGGTTGGCCATGGCCTTCCTCTGCAGAGCCTTCCTTGGTGGTCTCCCTTCCAAGTACCGACCCTGCTTAGCTTACAACTTCAGGCCACCCCAGCAAGGGATTTTCAAGGCCAGGGAGAAGCAGAGGTGGTTTGCCATGGCCTTCCTCTGCAGAGCCTTCCTTGGTGGTCTCCCTTCCAAGTACTGACCCTGCTTAGCTTATAACTTAAGGGAACCCCAGCAAGTGGCTTTGAAGGCCAGGGAGAAGCAGAGGTGGTTGGCCATGGCCTTCCTCTGCAGAGCCTTCCTTGGTGGTCTCCCTTCCAAGTGCTGACCCAGCTTAGCTTTCAAGATCTGACGAGACCGGGCTATGCCATGCTGCCCTCCCTCCCACGTTGGACAGCATAGATGGCCAGTATTTGAATCTGTGATCCTATTGCACATATGGGGGACAGGATTCATGCTCCCTCTAAGCTGTGGAGCTTTGTGAGCAAAAGTTCCACTTTGTGAGCCACCGGCACTGAGCGAGCGATTTGGCGACTGCATAAATCAGTTTGCTCTGGCGCCATCCTTCCTGAGCTAAGGCAAAAATGGGTGAGCCGGAGGCTCAAAAACTGTGAGCTGGCTCACACTCACTCAGCTTAGAGGGAACACTGGATGGGAACAATTATATGTCGCAAGCCAGGCCCACCAAGCCGCATAACCTCCAGCATTTTACTGATGAAGACAGGGACGTGCTCGCACCTCATTTGTTTTTATATCAAGGATCTTATTCCCCCTCCCCCATTATTGCAGGCTACCAAAGGCTCTGCACCATTTGTGCACCACATATATTTATTCTGCAAGAGCCTATCCTGCTCTGCTTTAAAAACCAAATCTGCTTTTATCTGCTTTTGCTTAAAGGCTTGGTAAGGAAGCGTCATTTTTCCTCCCATTTTTAAAAAAAAATTATTTGTTTTATATTAAAATGTATATCGACGCTGCTCGGTGCACTGTCTGCACTTGAGAATATAACTCCCCTGCTGTGAAATGTGATATGCATGGCACGCTGCTGCTGCTGGACTTCGGGTATTTAGGCACACAAGGCATCCTTCCCTCTCTCGCCTGGCGTTAGCTCCGACTTTCCTCCCCTCTCCACTTCTTCACTCTCTACTGCTCGCCAGGTCATCACCACCAGTTTTTGCCCAGCAGTTTGGGTTGCTGCACCCCAAACTCAGCAGTTTTGTTGTTTGTGACAGGCATTTGAGATTTTTTTTAACTGCCTGACTTTTCTCTCCTCCTCACCCAGAATTCGGATTTTTTTCCACAAGCCAGAAAGCTTCCCCCAATTTGCAGTAGCCAAAATGGTATCTGTGGCCACCCGAGTTGTGCAGATTTTATCATTTACACCCGGAACAGTCTTTGGCTATTAGATTTAGTGTAAGTAACAAGGACACCCATGCATGAACCCATGAAGCTGCCTTATGCTGAGTCAGGTGACTGAAAGTTGGCATTGTCTACTCAGACTGGCAGCCGCTCTCCAAGCTCTCAGGTCCTGATCTTTCACACCACCTCCTACTCCCTGATCCCTTTTAACTGGAGATGCTGCAGCTTGGATCTGGGACCTTCTCCATGGAAGACAAATGCTATGCCATAGGTCCTTGATTCCTCTCCAAGGGAAGGACTGAGGTGTGGAACCGTTGTATCTACCCCAAGGTATTTTCCACTCCCCCTTTTCTAGGATCTCCACACGTGTTGTTTTTTTTCCAGAGCCCCTTTCCCAAAGTGATATTGCATTGCAAGCTCTGCAAATTGCTGGGATATGTGAGCAAGTTCCTTTCATGATGTCATGAGAGAATGAATGTGTTTACTTATGCATGCTAATTTCCTAGTCAGTTTACTTAGGGACCAATGTAGTAGCCTGCACATCTTACCCACCAGAGTCTCAGTGATAATATGCATAATGAGTAGGTATTGGGGTTGTCTATTGGCTGATCAATAGATCTGAAGGTGTTCCAGGGATGGAGGCTTATAAAGTTTTACTGCCCTTTGTTCTGACTCTCACCTGGGGCTCAGACATGAGGTAACAGTTACTTAGAGAAGACATCGGTTAGAGATGCAAGCCAGGATGTTTTTGCTTTAAACTCTCAGTTCTTTCCCCCCCATGAGTAATCAGTAACCTTTACTTTTAAAGCTAATAAACATGTGTGCTGCTTGCTTGTTTTGTTCTGCCTACTTAAATAACCCGACAAGAAGGTTATGGGCCCAGCATGCTTCCAGCAATCCACTTTATATAATGTTGGGATTTTAAAAGGCAGCGTGGAGCTCCTAAGAATATGCGCCAAGTAAACTCCTTGCCAAAGCCTAATTCAAGAGAGGCTGCCAAGTTCGTTGCATGGAGGCGCTCAGTAAGGAAACCTGTAGAAATGGTATTTCAGCGGCCTGAATCCAGACCCGGACTTCCATGACCTGAGAAGCCGCATACTGCACACCGGATAATCATGCCAGTTCCACAAACTGTGCAAATAACATTGGACTACAGTTTACCGGAGATGGGTCATCACCCATGCTCGGTTCAGATGCTCTGTCTGGCTTGTGCAGGAATGAGAAAAAAGTCATAGAATAAAGCTAGGCAGGATACATCATAGAACAAGTGCGTCCCATAAGCAAAAGTGTCCTGATTTGTAAAGATATTCCTTTTCCTGCCCTTTGGAACTCTCCCCTAGCTCAACCCCCGTCTCTGCCCTCTCCTGTTTTAACCCATTCTGCTTCTCATTTCTAGCATGCTTTCTTTTCTTTTTTGCACTGGGATGGCGTAGCAGTCATTAAATCTGGATGATGCCACTTCTCCTAGGGTTGCCAGCTCTGCATTGGGGAACACCTGGTGATTTGGGGAGCGGGGCCTGAGGAAGGCGAGATTTCAGAGGGGCATAATGCCATGCAGTCCAACTTTCAGAGTGGCCATTTTCTCTAGGTGAGCTGATCTCTGTCACCTCATAGGGTTACCAGGTCCCCTCGGCTTGCCGGCAAGGGGATTTGGGGGATGTTTTGGGGGTAGGCGGGGGCATCGCGTGACACCCCTGATGCAATGATATCATGTGGAAGTGACATCATCTCATCAGGGATGTCGCGCGGCAACACTCTGCATTTGGGGCAAAACTCTATGGCTTTTTGGCCTAAAACCATAGAGTTTTGCTGAAGAAGCAGAGCGTCGCCACAATACGTCCCCATTTGGGGGTGGGGCTTTCCTCACCGGCCAGCTGGTTGGTGGTGAGCGGAAGCCTGAAAAAACGGGGGAATTCTCACCCACACCGGGGGTCTGGCAACCCTATTGCCTAGAGATCAATTGTAACCCCAGGAGATCTCCAACAGTGTTCTCTCAAAGCTGCACATGTGAGCGGCCGCTCATTAACACAAGAAGCCCTGTTCAGCAGCAATCTGGAGCCACACAGGGTCTTGCATTGCCCATTGCCCATTTTAAGATTATGGCAGTTATATTCTCCTCAGGATGTGAACTGCTCCGCTCAATAGGGGGAAAAGTTAGAGGGAACATTGATCTCCATTTTCCACCTTGAGATTGACAACCCTAGCTTCTCCCCATCTAGTGACCTCACTCTCCCAGGAAGTGAGGGATGAATAGGTGGTCCCTGTGTCCCTGTGTCGATCTTTGACATCTACCCTCGTCAAATACGTTGGGCGGAGCTCTTTGGGCGCAGGATCCTTCTTGAATAGAGATTAAGAAGCGTGGAGGGCCCTCGCTGTCTCTGAGGGGATCATGAAGGGCATAGGGTCCATGTCGCTCCCGTGCGGCTGTCCGTTGGGGTCCTCGTTCATCTGGGACACCTCGGTGGAGCCCGCCTCGAAGCCGGGCACGGTCTGAGCGGCGTGGACGACGTGGACCTTGTTGCGGGCCTTCTTCCTGAGGAGGCAGCTGAAGACCTTCTTGAAGCCCTTGCGGAAGTGCTTGGAGACCAGGGCGTAGACGATGGGGTTGAGGCAGGAGTTGGCGTAGGCCATGCAGTGGGAGAGCAGCCGGAAGGCGTAGGTCGTCTGGTTGAAGGGGAAGTCTCCGTAGAGGTAGCGGAGGACGACCACGTGGTAGGGCAGCCAGCACAGGCAGAAGAGGACGGTCACGATGATGATCATCTTGGTGACCTTGCGTTTGGCCTTCTTGGACTCGGACATGTCCTCCATGGGGTCCACGGCTGTCCACAGGTACTTAATCGTCCGGGTGTACGAGAGGCTGACGATCAGTACCGGGATCACGTAGCCGAAGGCGAACGTGCTGGTGTCCATGATCTTCCGCCGCCATTCCTCCCACCCCGGCACGCAGATGTAGCTTCCCTCCCACTCTATCAGGTCGTAGTAGCTCAGGTAAGGCCCGGAGAAGACCACGGAGAGACCCCAGATGACAGCCATGGCTGCCACCGCGTTGCAGGGGGTCCGCAGCTCCCGAGAGCGCAGCGGGTAGCGGATGGCCAGATACCTGCCAAAGAAGTCACATGAACAGATAAAGCCACTTTATACTCAATCAAACCCTTGGTTCATCAAACTCAGTACTGTCTACTCGGACTAGCAGGGGCTCTCCAAGGTCTCAGGTGGAGGGCTTACACATCACCTGCTGCCTGGTTCGTGTTAACTGGAGATGCAGCCAGGGATTGAACCTGGGACTTTCTGCATGGCAAGCAGGTGCTCTGCCACTGAGCCACAGACCCTCTTTACAGCTCTCCAGGGTCTCAGGCGGAGGTCTTTCCTATCACCTCCTGCCTGGTCCTTTTTAACTGGAGATGCCGGGGATTGAACCTGGGACCTTCTGCGTGCCAAGCAGAGGCTCTGCCACTGAGCCACAGCTCCTCTTCACAGCTCTCCAAGGTCTCAGGCTGAGGTCTTTCCCATCACCTCCTGCCTGGTCCTTTTTAACTGGGGATGGTGGGGATTGAACCTGGGACCTTCTGCATGCCAAGCAGAGGCTCTGCCACTGAGCCAAAGTCCCTCTTTACAGCTCTCCAGGGTCTCAGGCGGAGGTCTTTCCCATCACCTCCTGCCTGGTCCTTTTTAACGAGATGCCGGGGACTGAACCTGGGACCTTCTGCGTGCCAAGCAGAGGCTCTGCCACTGAGCCACAGTCCCTCTTTACAGCTCTCCAGGATCTCAGGCGGAGGTCTTTCCCATCACCTCCTGCCTGGTCTTTTTAACTGGAGATGCCGGGGACTGAACCTGGGACCTTCTGCGTGCCAAGCAGAGGCTCTGCCACTGAGCCACAGCCCCTCTTTACAGCTTTCCAGGGTCTCAGGCAGAGGTCTTTCCCATCACTTCCTGCCTGGTCCCTTTTTAGCTGGAGATGCCGGGGATTGAACCTGGGACCATCTGCATGCCAAGGAGATGTTCTGCCACTGGGCCACAGTCCCTCCCCTTGAACCACGATCAACCACATTAGCGATCACTGATGATGCCTGGGCCAGTTAACCTCTCTAAGCCTGACCTACCACTTGGGTCACCAACTCTAGGTTGTGAAATTCCTGGAGATTTGGCCATGGAGCCTGGGGAAGGCGGGTTTTTTGGCAGGACAGGAACCTCAGGAGGGTCGAATGCCATAGAAGCCACCTTCCAAAGTTGCCATTTTCTCCAGGGAACAGGTGTCTGTCATCTGGAGATCAGTGGTATACCTGGTAGATCTCCAGGCCCCACCTGGAGACTGGCAAACCAACCCACTGTAGACAAAACAAGGGGGAAACACAGTGTGCCAATGATCAGAAACAAAACAATGATCAGAAACAGAAACTTGGTTTTTGGGGGAGGCAACAGTGGGAGGATTTCTGGAGTTCTGGCCCCGTTAGTGGACCTCCTGATGGCACCTGGTATTTTTGGCAATTGTGTGACACAGAGTGTTGGACTGGATGGGCCATTGGCCTGATCCAACATTGGCTTCTCTTATGCTCTTATGTCTGAGGCAGTGATGCTGTGTATTCTTGGTGCTTGGGGGTCCACAGTGGGAGGGCTTTAGAAGTTCTGGCCCCGCTAGTGGACCTCCTGATGGCACCTGGTATTTTTGGCAATTGTGTGACACAGAGTGTTGGACTGGATGGGCCATTGGCCTGATCCAACATTGGCTTCTCTTATGTTCTTATGC